TAAGCGAACGGGCTACATCAAGACCGAGTTGATTTCGGTGTCTGAAGTGTAAGTGAGCTCGGAAGACTGACATTGTCAGAGCCTCACGCCAGCCTGGCTCCGGGCTGGGGCCCTTGGATGGCGTTGGCTCGTAGCTTGCTTTTCTGCTGTACTTGATGCTGCCGCCGCCATTACAGTTGGACTTTTTGGAAAGATCCTGACTAGCCCCCCGGTGTGACTGCTTGCCAGCATTTTACTGCCTTAGGATAAACAGCAACAAAAACCCCAAGCAAAACAGCAATGAACAAAATAAAAATAAAGCGAAGTTGTACGTAAGGAATATACTTTCTCCCCAGATTGACACTTTGGAAAAGTATGAATAAAATAAACAAAAATGGACGATTGGGAGAGTAGTTCTTTTCAAATCAAGAAAAGGCCAGAGTCATCACCGAGATCCATTTCCTCCACTTGCGTTTATTTTGTTGTTTCATTCCACAAAAGGCAGAAAGTTTTGGAAAAGTCAATTGTCAGTTATTTGGCTTGCGGCACTGTCTTGGGGTGAATGGATGTAGTCTTCATGTAAAAACACTCTGTGGAGCAGCCTTTTCTGCATACAACCCTCAAGGTAGGGATGAGGGATTCCCCCAGACACTTCTCTGGTGCTTTTCTGTCCAGGGTAAGCCTCAGAAGTCTGCCCACGCAGATGACACCGCACGCGCTCACACCGAGGCCCCACCAGGCAGCAGGGGTGTAGGCTTCAGTCTTGACAATCGCTCACTCATGTCTAAAGTCTAGTGTATCCCCCCCGGGGGCCGGGCTGGGGACATAAACCTCCCACGATCTGCAGTCTCCCCGACATGTTTTATAAGGTGTACGCTCTTCTGAAATCAAAATACGAAGTGGTCACTCAATGGCGGATAAGAGAGTCTCGGTGCATTGCTGCCCGTGTAGCTTGCCGTTAACACTGCCCTCTCTCCTCTCTCTCTTCTAGCCACCCCTCCAGACTTCAGACCACGGACAACCTGCTTCCCATGTCTCCGGAGGAGTTTGACGAGATGTCCCGGATAGTGGGCTCTGATTTCGACAGTATGGTGAGTACCGTGGCCGGCTGGTCCCACCCTGAGAACGCCTGAGCAGGCTGGTAGGGGGGCGGATCGGGAAGTCTGTCTGTGAGGAGCAGCCTTGGGCAGACAGAAGGCTTTTTAGAGAGATGAGCCTGTATTTAGGACAGCTGCAGTAGCAGCAGGATCTCATCCCTAGTATCCCAGGTGCTCGCATTCCCTTCCCCGTGCAGCAGGAAGGCCTAGCTGTACGGACAGTTACCACACTAAGAGACCAAGGGTTTCCGAGGCAGATGTATTCCTGTGGCTGCTTAGGGCCTGGGTGAAGGAGTTATCCTTAGGAGGGCAGATGCTAGTTGATAAAGCATTTCCACACTCGCTCACGGGGGGGGGGGGGGGGGGGGGGGGGGGGGGGAGGGAACGGAGGGCGGGGGGCTGAGAGTTCCACTTGCTACATAGGACAGCTTTTGAGGCTGTGAAGGACGGGCACGAGGAACGGTTCAGGGAGCGGAGGTTAATGAATAGGTTCCACGATCTAAACAGAAACACGGTGTTTGCAAAAGAGACAGTCTTCTTTGGGGAGAATGTCTTTCAGCTGATCCAATAGGACCCCTTGCCTTTCAGGCCCGAGAGCCGGCATCCCACGTGTTCCGTCTGGGTGACTGGCAGTCTCTCTGACGCTGTTTCATTTCAAGCCCCTTGCCACACGGAGTTAGGGCAGTCCGCCAAGTTCCAAAGCTTGCTTGAATGATTTCAGAAATCATTCTCTTAGCCATAGCAGGCGTTCCCTCATCACCGCGGGCTCTGTACCTAGCAATAAACGTGTCCCGTAACGAGAGTCAGAGAAGGGGACAGGGGAGAGAGGAAGGCTTCACCCGCGGATGTCCGTGTGCTCAGGGAAAGCTTGTGTCACCTCAGCCATTGCTTGTTCCTCACATGGGACCTCACGAAGTGGGCTGGGAAGCTTAGAAAAATGCTTTAGTAGAGCTTCCTGGCTGCTGAGACTGGCGGAGCTAGTGTGATCACAGGACCGTGCGGTGTTCTGGGAAGCGAGCCCCCGGTCTGTGTACAGCAGCACCCTGATTCTGCTGTCAGGGCTGTTTGGCAAATCTCATACGAGAGTGGAAGAATGGCGAAGTTTGATGGAGAACGTGTAAACCTGAGCAAAGGGTCCGAAATCAGGGAGCGTTTTCACGCCTCCTCTCCTGCCGCGTCACCACTGCTGCTGTGTGCCAGGCAGAAGCTCCTTGGCGTCTCTTAAGGCAAAGGCAAGGCAGGGCTGGGTGGGAAGCCTGTGCCTGGAATTTGGCATACGGTTCCGGCTGCCATCACTGTGGGTCCCCGCGACCTACTAAGCCCTTAGTTCCCCCATTTGTGCAAGGAGCACGGCTTTCAGTACGCCACAGCGGTGAGAACTGGGGGGGGGGGTTCACACCCTCCAACAAATGCCAGGAAATGGGTTTGTAGCCTCCGGATGCCGTTCTGTTCTAGCAGTTTTATCAGTCTGACTTACGGAGTAGACGCATAGGATGTATAGATAACAATAAATTAGTTTGTGAGAAACATCAGCTTTACCACAGTAGTTTCCAGGTGAACCCCAATGGTCTCAGAACCTCTATAGAGGTCCTGGTCTGGCTGGACAAGGTGAGAATGGGGTTGGACTGTCAAAGCAGCTTAACGTCACCATAGTGCGCTCCGTCCTCGACCCTCTCCCTGACTTCTGTCCCGTGGTAACTCCCGGGAGTCAGAGCACGAGGGCTGAGTGAGGCGGCTCTGCCTAGAATCCCAGCAGTTAAGAGGCCAGGACAGGAGGAGCTGATGTTGGCGGCCACATTGGGCCACGTAGACATTGTCACAAAACACATGGAAGTAGTGTGTGCTCTGAGGTGAACTCAGCTGAGCTGGCTTATTTCCATAAGGAGGCGGCAGCCGTGGACTAGAGAGGTAGTGAGGGTGGCTAGCCAGGCCAGCCTTGGCGGTCAGGCTCCTGAGGTGACTGTCCATGAGGGCCAGCATCTGAGGACTGGTTTTCTATGCTAGGACTTGGGTATTTATTTATGTAGCATAACGTTCCCATAAAATGGACTTGCCTCTTGGGGCTGGGGTAGAATCAGCTTGCTTTCCTAGAGGCCTTTGTCCAGACTTCATACCAACACTGCCCGCTAGTTTCTTCTCTGGCGCTGGACATTTATGCTTTCTTCGACCAGACCTGTGTGCTGGGCACTATTAGCCAACTTAGGGTATGAAGAACTTCACATAGTGGCAGGATTTGGGTGCAGGCTCTCTCTCCCTCTCTCCTTCTCTCCCCTGAACCTGCAGTAGTACACCATTTTAACTACAGATCTGTGTCAACAAGAGTGCCGTCTAAGAGACAAACCCTTCAACACGGTTTTCAGTCTCAAACCGCTTTCCTAGAACTCCCTAGAGACTTTGCGGTCTAGTGCTTAGGCTGGTGAAGTCTTCACTGTGAGGCTGCCCTTCACTCCAAAGGGCGTTTAGCAGGACCCTGGCCTCTGCTCTAGAATAGACGCTGCTGGTAGCACCTGCACACGCACACCCTACCATGGCAGGGGCAGCAATGTCTGCAGAGCAGCCAGGGCACGGAACCATCCTGGAGACATCTGGAACCGCCCCAGCATGGGAGCCAGAGTCAGTGGCAGGCCAGTGTCCTCCGACAGACAGCTGGCTGACCATAATCTCCTGTATCCAGGGCCACAGGGCAGGCTAGGGAGGGGAGCTGAAGGGCTCTGTAGTGGCGTTACCTCTCAGACCCACATCTGAATCACGGGCTTTGTTGATTTTGCCTACCCAGCGGCTGTTAAGGGAATGTCATCATTTTCCCCTTATCCCTCTCCTGCTGGTGCATGTGGCTCAGCATTTCCCCCCTCTTTTGAACGAGCTGATTTACTAAGCTGCTGCCCCGAGACTTGCATTAACAGCAGAAAGCTTTCTATAGTCTGTCTGGGTTGAGTCACAGATTTAATCCAGAGTCATAACCCATCAGTTTAGGCAGCAGAAGCGGCCCTGAGTCGTTCAGGGAGGCTAGGCCATGCCAGCCCTTCTGGTCCCACGTGGTAATGTGCTGTAGGGGGCATCCCCCTGCTCCAAGGGCAGTGGTGTAAGATAAACGAGTCGCGTGCCATGGCATCCGCGTAATGACCCTAACTGCATTTTGTCTCTTTGCAGATGAGCGCAGTATAAACATGAATTTCCTTCCCATCTGTGACTCCCTCCTGCTCCTGTTCCTGTTCCTTCACCTGCTGTGTTTCTAGGGAAACGCAAGAAAGAACAACACGGTTGTTGCCCCCTCCCCCCCCCCTCCCGTTGCTAGCGAGCGGATATTTCTCTTCGCTAGAAACCTGTTACTCTGAAGGACTTCATGCGTCTTAACTGAAGGCGAACCGGAGAATCGCTTGTGTAAAGTAGATTCTGCAGACAGAGCAGAGACCCGCCCAAGGCGTCGGGACTAAGACAGCCAGTGTCTGGGAAAGGTGAGGAGTAGAGCGACCTCTAGTAAATGCTGTGTCATCAGTGCCCAACCGCCACACATCACGGGACAGTCCGCAGTGTGATGTGGGAGCGGTTCTGTCCTGAAGATACTGGCGTGCTCCCCCTGCTTTATGGCTGGAAGTCTTGCGCTCTTTTGCCTATGGCACAGTTCAAAGCCAACTTTATAATGCAGTGAAATGTCAGACGTTAGTGGACATCCTTCATCTGAGTGGGAGGGGGGGTACAGGGGTGTCAGCACATCTTCTACACTGGCCTGTAAAACTGCCGGCACGATTGCGCTCTTCGGTGACCTAGCTCTGTTGTTGGCTGCGGTTAAGCGAAACTAAACACCCGTAGAAGAAAGACCGTTTTCCAAATTCTCCAGTAGTTTCTGTTTAGTATATACTCCACCAAGCTAAGTGGGTCTTGCTGTCATTTTGGTCACCGGTTGAATAAAACTATCTTTGCACATCCATTAAGGGAGCCAGCTTTCTTAAGGCAAACTTTTTTTTTTTTAAGTTGAAACCACAGATCTAGATAAGCCCAGCAGTTTTATTCATGTTCTTGAATGGGCTGCCTTTATTATTTCTAGCTGGTTGTCTTCATTAGCCACGAAATTAGAAAAACTAGTAACTGACTTGACTCATTAGCCAAATACGAGTATCGGATAATTCCAAAATACATTTTGTGTCATGGTACTGAACACTCTTTTTCACTGATAATGGGCCTTTTCTGCCAATGGTTTCGTGGCCTGCCCTGAGTTGTCAGACGACTTTGGAGGGACAGTGTTTTATGGCATGTGCTGTTTATCCACCTTCCTCAGTGGCCCCAGCACAGTTCAGTGGTCCAGGGAAGCGTGGGTTGCCAAGGTTCTTCTGGGCAGCTGTCCCAGACTGCTGTGCCCATTGTCCCTGCCGCAGCCGTGTGCTATGGGCTGCACTTAGCCTATGCACAGCCCTATCCATGGTCCCCAACGGAAGCAGAGGCCTCCTCGCTTTCCGTGTGCAGCCTGGGACCGGCTGGGCTCTCAGACTCTTAAAGTGAACAAGAAACAAACCGTCTTAAAAGTACTATGTCTAGATGCTGGGATCTAACTGTTGCTTACGTCGTCCACTGAGAACGGTTGCTGTGGTTTCATTCTGTTGAACTAAGACTTTAAAAAAATGTTAAAATGTTAGCCTCCTGTTGGTATTTAATATAAAGATATTTAAAATGTCTAGTATTGTGAGTTGGTTTAATATGTGTCTCACTGACGTATCAGGCCTATTTTAAAATAAGATTGATGACACTGTTTTTCTAATTGTTACCCTTGCTTACTGTCCTGGTAGCCACAGTGACTCTGGCAGTTTAGGGTAGGCATCATGGCGAGGTCGCTCGTGAGGCAGAGGCACAGGGATCAGGAGTTTAAAGTCATTCCTGGCTACGTGGCAAGTCCAAGGCCAGCCTGGGCTACATGAGTTCATAACTCTTGAAAGCAGAGGGAGCAGGGACAAAAGAGAGGTGTCTAAGTCAGTGGAAGACAATCTCTTTAAATTCTTAAGTCACTGACTGATGTAAGAAGTCACCAAACGTCCTAGCTTAAGGATGGTTTGCGTTTGAGTATGTCCAGGATGGCATTTTCTAAGAATAGAGCATGTATGTCCCACTTCGGATAGACTGATTTTACTTAGGCACTTTCTGAGGTGGCATTGCATATATGGAATCTACTGACTGCCTGAACACGAATGTGGAACATGAAGGCATTGGTCAGCAAACGAGGCAGACCCATGGTGCCCGACGGCTGCAGGGAAGGCGCCAGAGGAAGCTGGAAAGTTGAAAAGTCTTTGACTTTTGGAGCCTGGCAGCTGCCCCCATCTTGAGGGGATGATTTACCCAAAGGCATCTTTTGTTTAAGATACTGAAATATCTGTCTTGAACCAGGCATTCCTCTAGATGCTTGGAAGACACTAGTAGACAGAACAAATGCCCCTGTCATAAACATAAGATGTTCTCAGATACTGGGCTATATGCTCAGCAGACACTTTACCCACTGAAGCTTAATGGAGATTTTGCGAAGTAAATGTAGCCAGTGGTCAGTGGTTCGGAGCCCTCGTGGCTCTGGCAGTGGACCTAGGTCCAGTTCCCAGCACCCACACGGCATCTATAACCCCAGTCCCAGGGAATCTGATACTTTCTTCTGACCTCCATGGGCACCAGGCTTATGTAATGTGCAGACGCACACAAAGGCAAAACATTTATACACATAATCTAATTTTTTTTTGACTAGTCAAAAGCTACTGATCATGTCAATGTTACAGGAAAATGCACATAATTTCCAAGAAATAACATCAAAGCCAATTACAGGAAGCCGAGGCTCCTCAGTAGTGTTTTAAAATCTGGACAGCTCAGTGGTCATCAGCAAGGCGAGGCCCTCAAGTTCAGGGAGACCACGCCTGGGCCGTGGACTGTGGACTCTGACTTTAAAGGGACAGCGTGATGTACTGTAGAAAAATAATCCTAACTTACGACACTTATACTCAGAACACCAAGTAAAGCTACCCAGAAGGTAGAGATGCCATTATATCTGCCGTGAAACTTGTGGACTCTGTATTTTACAATGGTGCCAGACTCAGTTCGTTACTGTCGGCATGTTCGCAGCCCTTCCTATGTCTTCTGCGTAAATGATACCTCGGTGCCCCGACAGTCTAGCTTCATAGCAGATCGGCTGCTAGAATGTAAAAGGCAGCAGGAGGCATGGCCCAGTCAGGCCAGGCTCCAGAACAGACAGGAGCCCTCTGAGCAGTCCTGGAGAGCCTGCCTTTCCGGACTGTTAGCTTCTGTCCCCTCCTTTTAAAACAGCTGCCGTAATTATGACGAAGCCTAGACCCTTCTGTCTCCAAACACTACACCCCCTAGCCTACCCATCCGCACCCTTTCACACCCAGATGCTTTCCCATTTGTAAAAAGTGTGTAAGAGCCACCTAGTGCATCCACGGGCTGCTTCCCTGAACACCCATGAGTTATGAGCTTATGTTACCATAGGGACTAACAAATAAGACTAACCTAAACTCCTAAAAAAAAAAGTGCCATGAAAATAGAGTGATCACGGTTAGATTAACAACTAGAACGTTTCCCTGTTGGGGTTATCCTGTGCACTGTGCACCGCCACCAAGTTTCCGTCTGCAGACACACGCGTGTTCAGTAGGAGCTGACTCATGTCGCAGGACTTGGTACTGACATGCGTGGCCCCAAAACTCACCCGAGAGAGACTCTAGTAACTGTAAGTGAAGATATGTACTTCCCTGTAACTGTGTGATAGGGTACAGGGAGAGAATATTGACTAAGAGCTGCATATCGTGGTCCACTGTTGGGTCCCAGCTTCATCAATAAAAGCGTGGGTTAGATCAAAGAATTCCATGTGTTATTAATAGATTATTATTATTATTATTTGGTTTTTCGAGACAGGGTTTCTCCGTAGCTTTGGAGCCTGTCCTGGAGTTAGCACTTATAGACCAGGCTGGCCTCGAACTCACAGAGATCCACCCGCCTCTGCCTCCCGAGTGCTGGGATTAAAGGCGTGCGCCACCACCACCTGGCTATTATTATTATTAGAATGATAGAGATGGCCCTAACACCACAGCTGCTGTAACTAAGCCGCTTGGTTTGTGGCACAAGACTTTGATAAAATTAAAAAATGGGATTGGCATGGTGTTCATAAACCTTTGTGGTTAGGAAACCAGACACTGATTTAACCCCAAGAGGACCAGGGCATTCTCGAATGGAGAACCATTTCCACGTGTGGGGGACTCAGGAGAGCCGCCAGCCAGGCCCACTCAGATCCTGGTGTGGTGGTCCTGGGTCAGCTCCCCAGTAGACGTCAGAGCTCCATGGAAACGTGCTCGCATCCAGGGATACCTGCAATGGCGCAGTGCAGCCCGGTACCCTGAGCACTTTAACTGTACAGGCACAGTGCGAGCTTCTAGAGAGCTGAACGAGCCTGCCCATCACAGCATCCACAGCTAGGTTCCCACAGTTCTCATCCTCGCCCTGGGTCCACACATCCCACGTGACTCTGTGTGCTCCCTGGCCCGTAACAGGCTGGCTGTAAAACAGCTACAGACTCACAACTCAAAAGTGCAGAGAAAAACCTTAGTTATTTTAAGAAAATTCATTCCTCACGGCTTGTTTTCAATACATGTATTTATTAGGCAGTAAAAAGCAACATAACCTGATCTCATTTAAAATAAATATTTCCCAATTTCAGAACACTTACAGTTTATAGTTTTTTAAGATTTCATTTTGGGAAACGTCGGAAGTAGATACATTCAAAGCTTTGGACTCCCCAGGAGGGACCTAAATCGCACATCAGGTCACCTAGTCCCTGACAGACAGCAGGATCAAGAGCAAATCCAGCTAGCTGTGCGGCTAAAGCGCGGTGTATCCCCAGGCATGGGTATTACAACAGGGACAGCAGAAACAGCAGCGTAAACAGAGCTTCAAACCAACATGACCATGTAATGTTCCCCTGATACAGAAAAATTACACAAGATCGTAAAGCCAAAACGAAACGAAACAAAAAAAAAAATAAGATCTTTGGAGTTTACTGATGGCAGCAGTAACAGCTCATTCAAGCATTTAAAACAAAAGTGTTCTCCTTAATATCAGCCACTAGCAGAGAGCCGGAGCAAGACCTGGCACGTAGTCATAACACCGTGAGGGGAAAGAGCCTATTTAACCAGGCCACAAAGACTGTACAAAACGGCACTGATCTTAGAAAAGATACAACTTCTGTTTTCAAATAATATGCAGAATAACATTCAGAGAAGCCTCGGAGTCACTGGTGATAGTTAAGTCACGCATCGAACCACACAAAGCCAGTTGCTTCTGGAATAGCGTGAGCTCAGGGGATTCCAACTAAAACGCGGTCACGCCTTAACTTTGGAGCTGATGTCCCCGCGCAGAGTGCCCCCCCGCCTGTCTCAAGAGGCTTGCGGAAGCAGAACACAGTGGCAGGGCTGGATGCCTGCCCACCATCCTCCCACAGCTCCTGGAACTTAGATCCATGGTGGGGGTGCCTGGCTCAGGGAAGGGGCACTCACTAAGGGGTTCATCAAGGGGGGTGCTGGCTAGGGAATGGAAGGGGACGGCTGATAACGGGACCACAGCAGCTGGCGGCTACTGGACACTGTGCCGCCAGGCGTCAGGAAACTCGGGTGCAGTTCCGTGTTGATAGCGAGGGTCAGAGACTCTGTGTTCATGTGGTAACCACTGCATCTGTGTAGTTGAGAATTCTGCATCTTCCGCGGGCAGTTTCCAAGAAGTGCATTTGTGTGTGCACGTGCATGCACACATGCGCTCCATCACCAGAAGTCCTCACTAACAGAGCCCTCGTCTCTCGGAAGTAGAATAGGGTCCACTATGGGCAATTGCTAGAAAACTGGGTTCTCGCTAAGGTTCCTTTGACCTGTTTTCTAAGTTACTCAGAAATCACTGTTCCAAAACAAAGACATGGGGAGTCTAAATTTACAAGGACGTCATCTTTCCTGAGTCTGCCCGAGAGTTAGGAACAGAGGGGGGCAGTGCAGAGTGACCCCCCCGCCCGGGCCTCAGGAAGGGACGGCTAGCCTATGCAGACTGTTGCCATTAGGACTGAAGGGAAATGTCACCTGCGGCTGTCCCTATGCGTGTCCCTGTAACTTTGGTAACGGAGAGCATGTTTGAACTTTTCTCTGTTGTAGAAGCTGAAAGAAACGTCCAAGTCTGCGGTAGCACTGTCTTAACTCTTAAGCTAAGTTAGACGCCTGAATCTTGGTTCCTCTTCTGTAGATAACGGCCAGGCTCTGTCTCTGGGCTAGGAATGTGAGCATTGCTGACTTGCTGAGGACACACGAGACTGCAGAGAGTGCCGGCACTCACTTTCCCAAGGCCTCAGAGAGGCTGGCCCGAGGACCGTATGAAAGGAAAGGTCTCAAAGGTACTAGAACTATATCCATACGTATGTTTTGGTCACCAAACGTATCGTCGCAGAGTCCCTGATAAAACCTAATCAGAATTGGCGAGCTCTATGAACAGCTAGCAACTATTTTAGTGTTGAAGGAGTCACCTTGACGTGAGGGTGAGGACACATTTTAAATACTCAACCATGTGCATATAGTTGTTCGAACACTCAAGCTAATCTATAAAGTCTTGAAAACCACACTGGTTTATCTAATGACAGCATCCACCCCGCGGGTAAACTGTACAACGAAGCTTAGCTCATAAATGCCTATGAGGAGATCATCACCCGGGGATTGAAAGTTTACAACACACACGACTCATGAGGGCCACACACGTCAGCTAGCATCGGTAACTAACTATTCCTGGACATCAAGTTGTGCAACGCAAGAGGTAACTATTGCTCACATTATGAAGGGAGGTTCTTTTATTTCTATTTTCCCCAAAGACATCAGATTTTGTCCTGTGCGCACAAGGAAGGAAACTCCAGTAACACTGACATGACAAACGCACAGTGCACATCACTGGCAGACAGAAATATACATGTTCTTCATAGCCATGTTCCACAATCGAATAGGTAAGTAACCCAAGCCTCTCGGACCATTACAACAGCCCATCGAGGTTCTTGTGGACAGTCTGATTTTCCTTCCCGTTGTCAGAGTCCCCTTGGGGTGTGTACTGGACTTGGTATTCCTGGAGGATTTTAAAGACGTCGTGGTGTCCGAAGTGCAGCGCTTCGTCCATGGGGGTGTTGTTCCACCTGTAGCACACAGACAGGGGCGTCAGTACTCCGCACTGCTGCACAGAGACGGCTGCCCAGCATCCCCGGGCTCTAGGTCCATCCCAGGTTCCCTGGCCACTCAGGCTCCGCGCCATTAGCAGCATCGCAAGTGAGTACGGCAAAGGCGCCCAACAGCTGGTCTGAGTGAGCCATCTGGTACCCAGGAGGACAACTGAGGGGCAGAGGGGTCCTGTGAAAAGACCCCGCTTCCATACCCACGTGCTAAGGGAGGGGCCTCTGGAAGCCAAGTCTAGTGTTGCAGGTGTTTAAAAATAAGACAGTAACAAGCATCATCCCAACCCTTCCCAGAAAATTCACGTTCCTGTGAACTCAAAAGTCTCAACATCCTCGTGACATCAAATACATGTTAGATAAGCAAGACCTGCCCAGGGAAAGTGACCCTTTTATCGTACCCAGCAAGGGTAGGGGGCTGCAGGCTTAACTGGTCCGCTGCTTGACCAGAACTCCTTGCCCCCACTGTGAGAGGAAGAAGGAGATTCAAGGACAAGAAAAGAGTGGTCACAGCAATGAGTCAGCCCAAGGCCCAGCAGACACCGGGCATGCTCCCTGGCTCCTGGCTCCTTCACAACCTTGAGCCCGCCCTCTCAGCTCCCTCTGCTGGTTCCTGTTCCTCCCCCACCTCCCTGCTTTAGCCTCTTTCCTTCATTCTGTATCTACCCTCAACCTTTCACCTTAATGGGTCACAACATAAACAGAAACAACCAAAAGTGCTTAAGTTAGCATTCGATGTTTCTAGTGGCCTGTCCTTGATGTTCAAAATCAGGTAAGTGTCACTTTACGTGTCTCTTACGTTCCTCAAAAAACATGGCTCTAACATGACCAAATGTTTGTGTTAATCTGTGTGTGGGGGCATCTGCCCAGTCTTTACATCTCTTCCATTACGTAATGAAAAGTCTCTCGGGAAGGAATACACTATTTCACCCCTGCTATTTGATCAATAGCCGACGTGACTCTTATCAATGGGAAAATACACCCGGGTCTAGGCTTCACTCTGGATGCACAGTTAAATCCACAGCTACCAAGTTAGTCAGCTACCTTTGTCTATAAGATGGACGCTTGTGTTTCCACATTCTCAGAGGCAAATTTGGAGTGGAGGAATTCACATAGTATTCCCAACATGCATTGCGTAGGTCGTGTTTGAGTTCTAAGCACAGCGAGACACTTTTCGGCCTCTTACTCTGCAGGGCACTATGATGGGCACTAGACTGGTAGATGGGGGGGGGGACTGTCAACGCAACTAATTTCAATCATTGTTTTTAATGAGCACTGAAAGGGAGAGACAGCCAACACGTCGCCACCTTACAAAATTGCTAGCAAATTTCAGATACTGACACTGGCTTCTCACTTTTTGTACGCTGAACCAAGAAGGTTTAGGCCCCGCCCCCCCAAACAAAGGCTTAGAAAGCCGGTCAGCTCCCCAGAAGGTTGCTCCCCAGGAGGTTGCTAGCTTATTCCCACCTTCGTGCAGCTCTCGGGCTCCCTTCCAAACTTACTCGTACAACAGCACCAAGTATGGTTGTTCCCTTGCATTCTTCACAGGCTCTGCCTGTCCTCACCGAGCACGTGGCTCACCCAGTCCACTCTAGGAGGGGATGCCCAGGGAGTGGGCACAGCAGTGCCTCTTCAGCACAGCCCGGGCTGGGAAGTGGTCATGTGGGCGGGGGGGGGGGTGTGTGTGCACAGAGGAGGTTCTAGGTGGTTCTTCCCACTGCAGGCACAACACCCTTCCTCACTCGGTGCCACCCAGTGTCCTTCTCTCCAGTGGACCACTGAAAATTCAGCTTCCACAAAGCCTTCAAAAACTAGCTGGCCAAATCCAGGGATACCCATCACTGCCAACACATTCAAGATGATTTTTTTTTTTTTTTTACAAACTGTGAGAACAGAATTCCCATTTTATCTTTTCAAGTACAAAGCTGCGTCTTCTTCGTATGGGCTGACTGATAACTAACCTAAGATTTCCGAATAAGGCAGGCTTTGATGTCACACAGCAAGCCCCTTGATGCATTCACACGTAGCTGTCACTCAACACGACAATCCTGTGTATTCAGTCTGTGTTATCAATCACACCAGAAGGCAATGCAGACACTCACCTGTCCTTGGGGAAGGGGTTCACCTTGCAAGCTTCCAGCAAAAATTTAACCACTTCCACATGACCTGCAGCCCCCAACATACAAAAGGAGATTTTAGTTTCGAGAAGAATTGAAGTCTGTAAAAACCATAGCAAGCGGTTTGCAGTTCGCGCATTACCCTCGGCGGCAGCCACGTGGAGGGCCGTTCTGGAGTCGTAGTCCCGCTGCTCCATGTCCATGGCCGACAGGGCAAACCTGAAAGTCCGAAACAGCCATTCACTACAGGTGGTCGGGTTAACCCGGTGGTAACAGTTACTCCATCCGCTCATTCAGATCCCACGCTCTCCCAGCTCCACTAATGGTACCCAGCTCAGCCCCCACTGAGCCGTGGGTGAATGCCACGTGACCGCTCCTCCTTCGCTACTTTCCAGTGAGATGAGCATCAGCTGCCGCTCCCAGAACTCAGCTTCGTCCCATCATGATGCAAACCCAGGAGCGGCACCAAAGAGGCAAAAAACGCCCATAGTAAAGCGGTGTGCTTCCAGCAGGCTTCCCCTTCTTCGACTACACTGCCTGGGGTTACCCCGTGCTGCCAAGGCTTTAAAACAGCATGGAAACCAACTTAGCTCCGAGAGGGAACTCTCGCTCGGTATTCAGGGGCCCATGGCCTTTCTAGTCCTAGTAACGTGAGCGACACCGAACACCTGCGTCACCAGAGATCCATTACAGCCAACCACTAGCCAGTTAGGGGCCAGTTGCCACAGACAGCTGGGCTTCTATGGAAGGACAAGAAGCAGGTCCAATGGGCTGGAGAGATGGCTCAGAGGTTAAGAGCATTGCCTGCTCTTCCAAAGGTCCTGAGTTCAATTCCCAGCAACCACATGGTGGCTCACAACCATCTGTAATGAGGTCTGGTGCCCTCTTCTGGCTAGCTGTATACATAATAAATAAAGAAAGAAAAATTAAAAAAAAAAAAAAAAGAAGCAGGTCCAAGACACGGAAAGTGTAGGGGGGCGGTCTAAGTGGAAGTGGGGTTCTTTGTATCTTATTTGGTGACTTGTATTACAAGTGTGGGTGAGCCAGGCGATGGTGGCGCACGCCTTTAATCCCAGCACTCGGGAGGCAGAGGCAGGCGGATCTCTGTGAGTTCGAGACCAGCTCTGATCTACAGAGCTAGTGCCAGGACAGGCTCCAAAGCCACAAAGAAACCCTGTCTCGGAAAAAAAAAAAAAAAAAAAAAAAACAAGTATGGGTGAGACCTTAAGACCTTCGAACACCTAAAGCCACAGCGCATCCACCGAGAGAGCATACCTCCGGAGGGCAGACACATCTCCAGTGTACGCAGCGAACAGAAGGTTTATTACCGACTTTACCTGCGAACAAAGAAGAGACAGACATTTGCGGGAGAAGGCAAACACTACCGCTGCCGCGTAGTGCCGTGTGCTTTGAACTTCAGCTGCGGTGGCCAATGTTATCGCGGGTCCATACCTAAAGAACACACACGGCCTTTTCTTTTACCAGGACCGTGGGAAAGTCTAGACACAGACTGCCACTCCTAACACTGCCGTCTGCAGTTAGGACGACCTGGGAAACCTCACAAGGCACGTCTCACTACTGCGAACTAGTGTGCACATGGGTAAAGGACGTATCGCATACTGAAACCACTCAGGCTACATACTTGTGTCGTCCCTGGCAGCAATACTGTCCCCGCTAGTTACCGACTGCTTGGCAGATCTGAGAGAGAAGCGGGTTCGTGTCGCCGTAAACTTGAGAACAAAGCTGCTCTTCACTGGGAGTCAGGACGAGTGCCCAGATGTAAACGGGTGTGCTCAGAACGGAAGACACTGCCTGAAGGTTAACCCCTGCCACAGACGGCTCTAAGGCTTAAGGTGCATCTACTTTTGATACCTATCTGCTTGTTTTTATAGTTAAATGGAAGAGGCTAGTGATCCTAAGACCACCCAGTGAAGTCCTGACTCCATCCAGACTGTCTATCCCTGTTTATTAAAAACCAGATACTACTAATCACACTCTGCCACGTCTACACCCCCATCATAACCTGCCACGTCCTACACCCCCATCACACTCTGCCACGTCTACACGCCCATCACACTCTGCCACGTCTACACCCCCATCACACTCTGCCACGTCTACACGCCATCACACTCTGCCACGTCTACACCCCATCACACTCTGCCACGCTTACACCCCCATCATACTCTGCCACGTCTGCACCCTGATCATACTCTGCCACGTCTACACCCTGTAGCAACAGCTTGCATTCTGCTGACTCAACCGAACAGGACTCAGTGGTAGACACATTAGTCTATCTGGGACACAGTGCGGCCCGGCTCTCCGCGAACAAAGACACAACCCTTGAACTGTTTCCCTCCTAGACATGAAACCTGACGTTGCCTTCACTCAGTGGCTCCCTCGCCAGCTAGGGAACTTGAAAGCCGACTGCTGAACATTGCTGAAGTCATGTAACTTAGCATTTAAAGCTGGACCTAAAAACTAGCCCAAACATTCTTCATGAAAATGAAGTCCATATGGTTGGATATTTCTTAAAACATTAAACTCCCTTGTTGGAGATTCGTGGGCGTATGGGACTCTGCGGAGTCCAGAGGTATGGGACCCTGTCTAGCTACGAGTGACACATCACGGCTTACTAGCTATCACCCCCAAAGTCCTCCATGTCTACTGCATCAGCCCACAAGCTCCCCGCTGCCGCCAGGCACTGGAGCCAGTGGGGAAGAGGCTTTCCCCATGAAGATTCTCAAAGTATGTAAAGATTACTCCTAGTGGGTATTTGTTTTCTACCACCTTCCAGGAAAGGTGGTAGAAAACGGGTCCCATTAGTCTCTTGGTAACTCCGATGGTTCTGCTGAGTTACGAGTCACCACTCACGAACACAGTGCTTGACATGGCCAGAAGAAAACGTAAGTCATTAGAACAAGTTAGAGACCATTGTTGAGTCACACCACAAGGTGCAGGTGAACCAAGGGCCATCTCGAGGAGCCATCTCTCCAGCCCAGGACCAGCTCCATCCCCAGCTCCCCTCTGCTGCGGGGCCGAACAACTCTTAAGACTACTGTTTCCCACTTTCTTTCATTAGCTTCTTTTATACTTTCTGCAGGCCAAGGCCAGGGTGAAGAACCCCGCCGACGACCCTAAAACAGCTGTTACGGACAACACCATTGGCCGTATCAACGCCATTTCCACAACTCCCCTCAGTCTTACTCAAAACACCGGCTTCTCTTCCCTTCAGCTCCTGCCTCCGACCACAGTACTGTTAACCACCGAGTTGTTTCTTCACGGAGCCTTCTAGACTCCTAGCGTCCTCACTTCCCTCCTGCGCCGGCTCCCTTACGTCTGCCATCACACACACACACAAACCCTTCACTCGGTATTGGACCCTACAGTTGCTCCCTTTCAGTCAGTATTTTCTGAATATGTTTTTGACTTCCCTGAGAATTACCTTCACATTCTGTGACCAGTACTCTCCAAGTTCCCGCGCCTTCCCTCTCTCACGACTTCTCCCAAGACACTGCAGCGCCCTGAACGCCCTTCTCTTGGCTGCTATGCCCACTCTCCATGGCCTTGTCGTACTTCAGAGGCACTCGCCATCCCGCCTCAGATGGGTTCACAGGTTCTTCTAGTCAGAATGACTTCCCCTTTCAGCTCAAGTTCCAATTCTAACTCTATTATTCATTATAAATTATTCCTAATGTCTAACTCATTGGCTCCATCTGACTGTCCAGCTGGCATTTCACATTCAAAATAGGAGACAGGCCTGAGTCCTGGGCCCTCCTGCTGACTGGCCAGCGCCGGGATAGCCAACCGGCACGCCACCCTCGTGTCTGACTAGATCTTGGTTTGTGCTGCCTTCCTCTCCTCCAGGATCTCCTAGTTCACCATGACACAGTTCAGGTCTCGTGCATTCTAAACCCCAGAAGTCACCGAGAGTTGATGCCCCCCCAGGGAGGGCTGACTGAAGCTAAGGAGGGTAGCCAGTAGCAGCCCCTGTCACCCAAGTGCCCCTGCTGAAAAGGGGAAGACCTCCTTTACCCGGGGGAACCGAGAGCATCTACCACACACTACCCACGCCTGTGCTTACCATCCGCACCCAGCTTATCCCTCCAGCAACTGCTGCTCCCGGCCTGCCTAGGCCGCAGCCTTACCTCAGGAGGACTGCAACGCCCTGGCCTCCCTCCTCCCGCTGACTGCTACCACAGGAGACCAGAAAGACAGCACATTCGTCACCTCCGCTTTACATACCGACTTCCACTCTGCCAGGACGTGCGGGGCTCAAAGGTTTTCCATCCCCTGGCGACACTGCACGCCATTCTCTGTGAACTCCTACCTGACGGCTTTGCCCCACCAGCAAGTTATTGCTCATTTTGCAGTCGTCAAAGCCTCCACCTCTCCCAGGAACACTTTTCCCACAGTGAGGAGAGACCCTTTCGCATTACCCAGGTCAACTCCTGAAGAGTCGGCCTGTCTTTCCTTCACTGCTCACCTCTTCCTTTCATTTTCCTACCCAGGGGAACTATTATTACCTGACCCCAACTTCTTTTTTTTTTTTTTTTTTAACCATCTTTGTCCCATTACATATAAACTCCATATGAGCAGAAATCTCCTTTTCTTTCCTGTGACCTGAGTCCATCGTGTATCCTGAAGTGGCCATCAGTACTAACTAAATGAATACTCTCCTGAAAAGCATCTAACATCCGGTGTTACCACTGCCTGGACCCGAGAAGCGTTAGCCCGGCACTCAAGGTTCTGCAGTCTTGCTAATCCGTTTTCTCTCTCAATTTCGACACAACAAAGCTGTCCCACTCACGAAGCCCTTGTTCCCGCTCCTGCTTGTGTGGGGTGTCTCTGTTCTCACACTGAAGCCGTTCAGACTTCCTGCCTGCGGCGCAAATACCAGGACCCATGGGTAGATGTGTTGCCCCACAACCTGAACACAGTCTGCTCCTCAGCCACAGTGTGTGGGCTCTGAGTGCCAGCCCCCGTCCATTTATCAATGAGCTGTCATTGGTGCCCCCCTGGATGGAAACATTAGTCCACTATGTGCCTGTCTATCTCCTTACGGCACCGTCACATATGACCCTACGGTGTATTTCCTTTTAACCCCAGATTCCGGTGTCCATAGCAATACTGTCTTACCCACAGTCCTCAGCTGCTACCTTTTCTACGCAGTAAAAGTCCTCATGTGGTTTAGTAACTGTACACATAACTACATGCCTACATGCCTTTGTCCTGGGGTGGGCTTGCTTGTCTTCAGTGCTGGGCCTGAACTCAGGGCCTTGAACACTTGAGGAAGGTGTTGTGCAAGCCGTTGGCTTTTAAAATCCCCAATTTAGATCAAGTATCTTTGAAGATAATTCCTGTGCCTTGCTTAGTCCCTTAACCTCTGACGAAAAGAAGGGCCGAAAGATACATTCTTATGAGGCTTAGGACAGGCTTATCTCACAATATAATGAGCCTGAGGCTTACTAACACGTAATCCTCACGCATGTTTCAGTTCAGATAAATACAAACTGAAATTAAATGAGAAAGCAGCGAGAACAAACAGCAGTTCTGTGATACACAGGAGGGATGCCAGCTCGCCTGAACAAAACCGACTAATGGGTACCTAACCATGGAAGTTTATTATTATTCTCATTAAAATAAAACGCCTGAATTTGCTCCAAATCAGTAAAAAAAAGGTTTGCTCACAAAGCATCTCTCAGACTGGAGGAGGTATCACATGTCTGGGTATCATAAATCACAAACGCCTCGGTTTTCGAGTCCCTACTGGAAGCCCTGGCTGGCTCTGAACTCGCGTCCTCCCATTCAGCCCGCGGGCTCCTGGGATTACAGGGATGTGCCGTCTACACCACCTAGGTTTAGTTTACATAATTCATGGAATGAGGTGTGGGCAGAGCACCAAGAAAGAAAAACGAACAGCTTCAAGACAGAAGAGGGGCATCATTTACTCAGGGGCAGATGTTTTCCTACTCGGCTCACTTACGCTGAAACCCTACAGAAGGGCCCTGGTAGGGAAGCTAAAGACAGGCCCCCTGCGAAGCGCAGCTCTGATCCACGGCCAGGTCAACCCTGAAGACATGGGCGTGCTCACGGTCAGAGGCTCTTCCCTACCACCCTCTCCTCTGACACCAGAGGTCCAGAAAACAGTGGGTTGGTTCACAGTGACTGCCAGAGGCGTGGAACCTGCTGGATTCCTTAGTGACGTAAACACAGACCAAACCGGGCAGGAACAGGAACCTCTGCCAATCCAGGGCTCTGACGTTTACCTCCCCGCAGTGAAAGCTCCTTTAGGACGTGTAGGCCTCGACCGTTTATAAATTCAAGGCTGGGTTCCCGT